TTTTTTTCATTTCAATTTTCAATATATGTATATATATAAATATATATACACATATATCTCATAGTGCGTGCATAGGAAGGCGCAGTCCAATGATTTTCTTTTTTTTTTTCACAACAAAAATATTCAGTCATACCACACCTTGCAGAGCCGACGAAAACGTGAACATGTTAGAATACGGTACTTTTTTTTACTAACAGTAATGGCGACTGGCAGATAAACAGACAGTTTGGCAGGCATGGTGAACATAAAATCAAACATGTACACGCGACACAATTAACCAAACCTTTTCGTTAATCCTTCTTCCCCTCTCACTCTCACACACACGCATGCGCGCGCATACGTACATTCATCCTGTTTCTCTTTTTCTCATCGTCATCCGTCGTTCACACCAAAGTCGTTACTCTTACGTATCCTTATTTCTATATCCATGAGGTCCTATAATATTGTAACATAGGCTTTAGTATGCTATACTTGTAAGCTATACTAAAAACTACCAGCTGCGTCGCCTACGACGCGGCGCAGCCATTCTTAATTAATATTAGGAATATCGGCAGTGAAATTCCAATGATAGACGCGGCAGGCAGGCAGTCAGTCCAGCAAAGTCTGTGGCACTTGCGCTGCTCCGGTGCAATAACGGATTAAAAAACTTGATCTTTGACCGGGGTGCCCCGCGCGTTAATTTTTAACATTTATCATTGACATTCACGGCATAAATGTCTAGAAAGATAATGAATTAAAATTAGGGGGGCACCCCACTGTTCGAACAGAGCGATTCTCCATCATTATTTCCACCATGGCACCTTCGTCATCATATTCACCATATTCGCTTACTAACGTCATTATTATTTCTTTTTTTCTTCTTTTTTTTTTAATTCTTTTGTTTCTTTGTTTCCTTATACTCTATCGTTTGTTTTTCTTTTATCTTTCTTTCTTGTTTCCCTTCTTTTTTTTTCTTACTTTGTTTTCTCTCGTTTGTTGAAAAATAATTTTCTCTCTTTCTTTCTTTCTTTCTTTCTTTCTTTCTCTCTTTACAATACTTTTTTCACGTGTGATCGATCCGCGACGCCGCGGATCGCCGGTGTCATCGCTTGCATGATGAATCGATCGGAAAGAACAAAAAACAGCGTCGAATTGTCCGAAACATAAAAAGTTACTAAGATTACAAATCACAAATGAAATCACAGACTTTCGTTGGTGGTTTGACAGAGGGGAGGGGGCCGCACATTGCAATTAGAACAACATTGTAGGCATATTCTTATATCTGGAAAAAGTTTCGACGGGCCTCGTATGTGTATGTGTAGTATGTGTGTCTCCGATATATCGGGGGTACTTTCTCTCCCTGGTTTTTGCGGTTACCCTCGAGACTCTCGTTTATTCCCATCCATTCTCCTTGATCATATGAGCAAGCTCGATTATAAACTTGCCCTCTTTATACTTCTGACTCGACTCGAACGCATGCTCCTACAAAGAATTTCCAAAGCGTCATTAGCGAATAGACCTAAACGGTCGATCGGCTCTTTGTACATTACATTTCTCACAAGATGTGAATAGAAAAAGGTGCTTACGTATTTCCACCCAAGGGTGGTCTTGCAACATTCGCAGTAAATATCAGCGACAGCATGAAGGCCAGTTAACAGAACTCGCTCCTCCGCAGGACCACAGCCCACATTCACCCTAAAATACAACATTTCAACATTTGCATAAACGCCTTTATCGTATCAGGAAAGACGAAGAATCAACGAAGTAGAGAAAGAGAGAAAGAGAGGGGAGGGGAACGAATGTACAGAAAGCATGAGAAGTACCGCGGGTAAAATAACGCGTCCTACTTTCCACGACGATTCGATCTCGCCTCTCTGAAGGCATTAGCATACTTACACGGAATTAAAGAGATAGGCACGACCTTGACTGCCCTGGAAGGACTGCAATCAAAAGGAAAAAAGTCTGTTATAGTAGATGTACGTTTAGGTGCGTATATACTGCATATACACACGCGCACGCGCATGCGCTACCCACACGCACACACACACGTACACGTACACACACGGTAGTGGATAGAGTGTTGTGGAGAGCTCGGAAGTTGAATGCGAGAAGTCTGTCCGTTACCTGATCTAGCACGGCTCACCTTAGAGATGAGTTCGTCGTGGTTGGCGAGGTGAGCACGGCAGTGAATGCACGAGTAAGTGCGGTGACACGAGGGCAGGTATGCTTGAAAAGTTTTGACCATGATGGCGTGTCCAAGCAAGCAAAGAAAACTTCGCCCTTGTCTTCGTTCTTTGTCTTTGTCTTTGTTGTGTTATAGTCGTAGTCGTAGTCGTCGTCGTCGTTGGTTTCTCTCCCTCTCCCTCTCCCTCTCCCTCTCTCTCTCTTTCTTATCAAGTGTCAAGATACTGCTTCTTTCTCCTCTTTTTCTTCTTTTTTTTCTTGTTCCTCTTCTCCTTTTTACGTTCGTGGAAACGTCTGGCCGTTAACCAGCAACCGATTATTATATCGAATTTCTTCCAATCGCGGGGTGGTGGTGCAATAGTGGCCCCGTTCACCGCCGCTTCGTACTCCGATCAGCTGTTGAGCTGGTTCAGACAGCGCCGGTTCGGGGACACCTGTGAATACCGATTATTATTGTTATTATTACATTCGTATCTCTTTCTTACTTGATAATCGTTATGTTGTTACGCAGAGGTTACCGTGCATGTATGTGTGTTGTGCAACTTAAAATTACGCGCTTAAAACGCCTACGATGACGACAGATGCGCTGTGTGCCGGTGTTCAGGGATAACCGCGTGATCTAACGCAACATATTCAATACGATATCATGCATCTCCTTCTCGAACGGACGATGTCGAAGTGTAGAATAATAGAGGTTTCGTGAAATGAGAGAAAAAAATAAGAAGAAAAAAAAAGAGGTACGTGAATGAGACGGTGTTGGTATTTCAGTTGAAAGAAGTTTAAAATATTTTGACGTTTCTTCTCTTGCTATATTCTCCCCCTCCTAACATTTCGGCGTATTACCACACACTTGAAAATGAAATATAGCTGGCAAAGTGGAATAAATAAGTGCAGTCACGTGTAGAATGGACTAAATTTACATTCAATTACATATTAAAAATAAAACAAACATTGGCTCCTGCGCGTCCTCCTCGGGAGTCCGCGCGCTCTCGTTACGCTATGCGTTCCACAACGCTATTTACCCGCTATCATGTATATTTATTCCGCAACTATCAGTTCCGAGTTATTTATAACGACCTGTTAAATAACGCGCGCGCGCGCGAGCTTACTTCGAACGCGCCGAACAGCTCTCGACGCCTGCGGCTTTACTATACTACGATACAAGAACAAGGGGAAGAAGATGAGGATGATGAAAAATCTCTAGATGCGTTTTGCCCATCATGTCAGCACGATTGATGGACAAAGGCAGAAAAAGAACAGATAACATACGGCGCAATACATATGTAAAAATAACGAAGGCGAGAGCGCTCAGTGGCAGAACAGCGAAACTGCTCGAACGTTTTGAAGCGCAATACCCATCGATGTTGCTCTCCTCCATATCGAGCGACCGACTACGCCACGTGCTGGCGCGTGTTCAAACAAAGAAAAGAGACAAGGTCTTTATTATGAAGCACCTAAAGGAAGACTTCTGCTTTATAAGGGCCGAGGAAGCACCAGTCTCTCTCTTCTTGTTGAGAGTGTTCGCGCCTCCAAGCACGTTTTCTTTCCTATTTCTTTTTTTTTCTCTGGGACTAACCACTTTTCTGGATCTTTACTGTGAGAGGAGGTAAATCTAACAGCAAATGGAAAAGATGAATTATTTGTATAGGTTAGGTTTAAGAACAGCTCGATTATACTTCTTCGTATTTTATTTATATTCTTTTTTGCAGAGGTTTACCTAATGTTAAATGCATAATAATTCTGTATTAGCGTACACATGGATAAATCAAGATAATTTTATACACGGCATTTAATTAACCTCTCTAACCGGAAATTGGTATAGTAGGGGTCTAAAGAAGATCCTTTTTCTTTAGGTTCACTAAGTGGCTGCGTGAAATGATCGCTTTAATAGGCGGATATAACGAAAGAATACAGTGGTTTTTTTTGTTAATTTTAGCTTGGATTAGATATATGAACTGAAGTGGTAATTTTTCAAGATTATTTCGAGGTCGTGGAATTTCAACGAGAACTACACCCTGTTTACAAAACATAGCAGAGGATTGTATACCTGCGGTTCTTAAACCGTAATTGCTTCTGTTGTACCCTTCCTAGGACCTTGGGCTTGTTTGAAGGTCATTGCACTTTTGCTCGTTAAATTTGTTTTATGTTTATGCGCTAACGATGCTCAAACAAAAGCGCAACGTTCCATTCGAAGCACCAGCATAAATTGTCCTTGAAATAATCTTGGAAGAACGTCAAAAGGAACTTCTACCAGTATGAAAGCATTAAGAGGAAGAAGAATTGATAAAGTCTATTGTTTCCATGAAGGGAAAAAGATATTTGAATCCAGACAACTTTTTTTCATCTTCACCCTGTCCTGCTTAAATTATTAATGCATAAAATGCAAAAGGAAAGAAGAATAAAAAATATCTCAACAACGTTGCAATTCAGTTCAAGGCCTCAGATTAAAATGTGTCGTTGTTCATTAATATGAATGAAGAGCGCATCATAATTGTAATCATCTCGTTTCCATTATATATTGCAAAAGGCACACGTGGTGCCACATGTACGAACAAAGAGACAACAAGCTTTTGTTTTGATAAGCTATGGAAGACGTTTCTGCTTTATAAGGATGGAAGAAGAAGAAGAACGGCAACCTCTTATTTGGGTTTAGACACCAGACGGTTTTTGTGACTGCAATTCCTTTCCTTCTCTTCGATCCTTCTTTCGTTGCGTCCTTTTTTCTTCAGCTGGACACCCTTCTTTCTTTCTCCCTCCCTATCTGTCCTTGTCGCTCGCTTTCAGTCTCGCTAGGTCTCTCTCTTTCTCGCTTGAATCAATCGAAACAATGATTCGCCGTGGCCTTGCAATAACGGTACTATTTTACTTTCCAAGCTTATGGCAGCGGTTGGAATTAACAGTCCGTGTGACACAACCGCCGGACACACTTCCTGCTGTATTATTTCTGACACGTGAAAGTCACTCTGAAGAACATAAAAAAAGAAAAAGAAAAGAAAAGAATGTAGTATAATTAAAAGCCAGCCATTTCACTGTGACTTCTTTCAGTAGTATTTACCTTCTGTCGATTATAACCTAAACTATCCGTCGTATCGTGTAGCAGTTCGAGTTCTAATACACGAGGATAAACTTTAAAAATTCGCTAAACGAATCGTATAACGACAATAGATGTTGCAACAAGTGTATTCGAAACGGTATAACATCGCAGAAAGTAAACTGATACAACGATCCAATCTATGTACATCGTATTTTTAACGCGACGGGGCACCAATCGGTCTGCCAGACCAAAAGTGCATACGTTATAGACGCTTACTTCCATTCACGAATACGTAAAACCTGTTATCGTCCTACATGTGCTCTACTTGAAAATGTAGACTCACGTCTGAAAGCGATTACCTGCAATTTTATAATTAAATGCGCATAATTTATCCAGGAAAGAAAACAAAAAAGAAGTAATAGACAATTCTTTGAAACGTAAAGAAAATCACTTATTGTTAGATGCGTGTCATTACTAATACGCCTGGCCTTTGAATTATTCTACAGAGAAGACAAACGTTTCCAAATTAAAAATCAATGCACCGGTGTCCAAAGAAAAGATCTTCAAAGCAGTTGTTCTATAGAAATTCAAAAATTTTCTCACGCCTGTTCGCATCCTTGAATGTAATGACCATGCGGAATAACCGTGTATAGAAGAACGGCGTGTGGTTCGTCGGCCGCGGACTATGAATCCACAGAGAGGCCACAAGAAAGAAGTTTCCCGACGAATCGTCGGGAACAAAGGGACGAACGTTCGAGTCAATACACGGCCCAAGGTCATTGCTACCCGTCGCCGACGCATCCTCGGAATTTCCGATTTTCTTGTCCATCCTTTTTTTCCTCAACGTGGCGTGCAGACGATGTGCGCGCCCACCTCGCCAATGAATAAGACACGAAGAATCCAGTGAAAGCCCCCCATCCAACCAGCGATACACGCTTTGTTTTTCCACATGGCGTTGGTGTATGATGCGTGTTGTGTACCTGCTCCAGACGAAGCGTGCAATGGAAGCACGTGTAACAGATGTCGCGCGTGGTGCAAACAACTCGTACAGCGTACTGTTCGCTCTCGAAAATTTAATTGCGTAGCTAGAAACTCTGCGATGTTAAGGGAACGCGCGCGCACACACACATACACCTTTTGAACAGTGTGTACGAGTCGGAAGGGTGTATTATGATACGTATCGACGCAGAAATTTAGTTCTCACAATAGTCACGTTTTCATTTTTACCTACCTTCGGTATTATGTATTTCAAATCGAAGTTTTTTAACCTCTTTCTTGATTTTCGTCGTAGAACGTGAATTTCTCACAGCCCTGAACTTGTCGAGATAAACGGGAAAAAATGAATGCTTTATTTGGTAGACTGATAAGATAATTGAGTTGAGTTCTTCGATACTTAAGACGAAGAAAAAACATTGACACCCGAATATTCGTAGTTTCCGTGAACATTAGATAAATGTGTCAGAATGGTGTAACACTCTGTTTACTATGAATTAGGCAACGAAAATGTGAACGTATGGAAGCTGAGTCGACGTGACTGAGCAACAAAAATTTATACGTTCTTTCCTTGCGTGTTTTTCCAGTTTCATTTCAATTTTAAATGAATATATTACATTGAAATCAACAATGTACGTGTGTGTGTATATCGTGTATAAAATGATGTGGTCAACAAGCATGAGTGTATAAATATTATCTAAAAACATTAATTTTTTCAAGAAGTCAGTGTCAATGAAATCGTAATTTATAGATTGATAAACAACGTCGCGGCGTTAAGGCGAACGTAATAAAGATTTAAAGAGGCGATTAGATTAAACAACGACTAAAATTACTTTTCCGCAAAGTTTAGTAGTTAGCAGAAAACGCAATCGATACGAATATTGTGTATCTTATCGATTTTTTTTCCAAGCACCAGAAACTCTTTCTCTCTGACGACCTCACTATCAATGTCATGCAAGGAACATTCTCGTGAGAACGAACGACAACGATCCCAATGAACTCGGATTATTAATTGCTCAATCGAGTTGATCAGCGAATAAACTTCCGATTTGATGTATAAATAACTAGAGAGTGGAACGTAACGACACTTGACTAGAGAAACCTTCCATCCCCGTTATATACACGATCTTCTCGCCTAGAATTTAATCGGCACAGAAGGTAACGAGGTTGAAAGAAAATTTCGT